CCCCAAAACCCCAAAACCCCAAAACCCCAAAACCCCTCTAGTATAATTTTCATAGTCAATTGGAAGAATGAATTTTTGAAATTTAAGTTTAATATCAAATTTGATTGCTCTGTCATTCTTGTGCACTTTCCTCTTATGAAGCCTCATCAATCTTATCGAATTCCACATAGTAATTCTTCTTATTGGTTCTGCTGCTTTTAAGTACCTTTTGCCTTAGTCTTCGTTTCTTCTACTGTAGATACTACTCATTCACCTCTATCCTTTTCACATCAATACCACTAATCTGTCCGCTTTCATCAGTCTTATACACAACCTTGTTTTAATACTTAGACTTTTTACTGTTATTTCCACTTGAGTTTAACTATTCTCTTTGTCTTTGCTATTGAGCCTAAACTTATGCATTTTGCTCTAGCTGTGATGATTTTGACCTGGATGACTTATTATCTGATTTAGAGTTTTATTATTTGTTTCCAGGATTGTTATTTGACTCAGAATCTATTGTCTCATCTAAGTCAACTGAGTGGTCTGGAACCATTGCAAATTCATTCTTGTCAGAATTCTCTAGTTTATCTTATTCCTCATCATTGTTCTCTTGAAGAATACAACAACAGCAAATTATAATCAAAGCTGCGAATAGGAAAAACATGAATAAGTATTCGAAGACGGAAATTGAATCAGTCATCTTTACTATTTTCTATGTCACTGGAGTCAAATAGGTGATAGGGTCTACTCCATTTGCACCTCTATGTTAGCAGACTTGAACTAAACTTTCAGTATGATTTGGATCGAGTCCATATACCTGACCTTTTTAAATCATGGATGAAATATTCATAACCTGATTAGAATCCTCATTGCACTAAGCTCTGGCTAATCCTAATTAGTTGGTGTCTACATCGAATACAAAGTTATGTTGTCTCATCATTGTTCCTCCCATCATAACTTCACCTCTGTTGTAAACTTCACCAGCGATGCAATATCTGTTGGATTTGTCTCTGTAAAGATACTCACTAGGGAACCATTCGAAGTTTATGTAATCATCTTGACGGTCTGATTTCTTCAAGCGGAAGTTTAGAATTGGGTAACTGAGGAAGAAATCTAAGGGACCTTCTTTGAACTTTTTCTCATCATAAACAAAGCATATCTTCTCTCTATCCTCAGAATTTGTGTCTCTTGCCATTCTACCAAGGCAGTGGTGCTCATTGTCTAAGTTGCAGAACCACTCGAAGTGAACTCTAAATGAACTCCATAGCCCATGTGGGAAGTAACTGAAGGTAGTGCCTGAATCTATGAACCCGACGTTATACTGAGCTGATCCATCTATGAAATGATTGTTCATACTGATTCCAGTAATATGAACTTTATATTGTGAAGTTTATAGCAGGGGTATCCATTAAACTTCCTCTAGATGTCTGGTTCCATCATACCCACCTATTTGAAAATAACCTCCGTTTTTACCCAAGCACAGTGAGAACTATCTCTTCTCAATAAGGTGGTTGTCCTTCATTACATCAAATATGGGGCGCATGTGATGTGAATAGGTGCTTTTAGTTAATCCCAGGATACCATCAGCTTTTTATGTGTAGAACAGGTTGGTCTCATCCTGGACACAACCAAATGTGAATTCGAATGCATCCTCGTTAGGATGGTGATGCTCTCCGAAATGAACCTTATCTTTAGCAATAAAGCCATGGTAGCTGCTTCCCTCTCCGTAAGCCTAACTGAACTTACAGTACTGTCCATTGTGGCAATCGCAGCCAGAGTCTGTCTTGCAATTGTAGATATACTTTGACTATGACCCATCAATGTCAAAGAACTCATTAATGTGATTACCGCAGTGATTGCAATAGTTTTTGCAAGGTATAGCTGCAATGCCACTGCCAGTATCAGCTATCAAAGTTTGCGGATGTCTCTGCGAGCCAAAGTACACATTCACGTAGAAGTATTATAGGTCAGTCGAGTTTCCATATAACTCAGCACTTTCCAGATGCATGTGCCACATTCTTCTGCGCTACTGTGTTTATGCTTCAGGCACTGTCCATCGCTCTTGCATCTATGACTAAACAGAGGAGAGATTCAAGGTAACATATGCTAGCAGTGTTAAACAGATTTTTGTAGTATTTTTCATGCTTTGTTTTTTCATTAATTTTATAATATATTCTAACTTCCTATATATTCTTTCCCATTTTAAAAATAGTATACGTTCTCAGGATTTATCTAGATGACTTAATAACACAATTGAGGGGTTTTGGGGTTTTGGGGTTTTGGGGTTTTGGGGTTTTGGGG